CAGGGTATACAGATAGATAATGGGGGCATAACTTGGAATATAGTAAATGTTTACGCTGCGGTCTAATCACAAAGAAACTTTGGGACGGGTTCAAAGAGTTGGCGTATATTCCTAGTAATAGGTTTCTCTTTTGTAGGGAACTCAACGTGCGGAACCGAGCATGGGACAGTACTGGGGAAAACAGTCAAGGAAATGCTTTAACAAAGGCTATTATGAATGCAGACGTAGTCTTTATAAATAAGTGTTTCCCAAACTTTTCTTATCTGCGGTGCCTTTTTTTTTCCCTCAATAAAAATGTTTCCACAGCGCCCTAACCAACGTCAAAGTATGATTATTGGTATGTCAGAGATACAAACAAACAAAATTACACTCGCGTGTCTTCGAATATTTCGCGGCGCCCCTGTGAAGAGGTCGAGGCACCCCAAGGCGACGCGGCGCCCCTGTGAAGAGGTCGAGGCTCCCCAAGGCGACGCGGCGCCCCTGTGAAGAGGTCGAGGCTCCCCAAGGCGACGCGGCGCCCCTGTGAAGAGGTCGAGGCTCCCCAAGGCGACGCGGCGCCCCTGTGAAGAGGTCGAGGCACCCCAAGGTGACGCGGCGCACAATTTTGGAATCACTGGTATAAACGATGGTAGGCCAACTAGAATGGCAACAAGACCAGGTGATGCAGACACGGCAATTGATTTGTCGTTTGTTACCCAGTCAGCAGTGCTGGACACAAAATGGAGTGTCCTAGGCGATCATGGAAGTGACCATGTGCCATGTCCAGTCTTGATTTCTAAAGCTAGCAAGGTCAGGGCTGTGAGAACGCGCAAGACTTTTAAGAATGAGACGGACAGAAGCCTTTTTAGACGCCTTTGATAGAAGGTATGCAGCAGAACTACAACCTCTGCTTTTGTGCAGCCTCCGTGGTGGACCCAAGAAGTAGAACAGGAATGGGAGGCAAAGCGAGCAACAGTTAAACAATTACATAAATAGCGAAAGACACCTCACGTGTTACAAGAGGATGTAGAGAAAGTAGAAAAAGTTTGAAAGGAAAAGAAGAAGAGTTTAAGCGTTGTGAAGTAGATGCAAAAAAAAGAAAAAGAAAAAAAAAAAGAAGCTAAATGAAACAATTTATGAACGAAAATGGAGAAAGTAGGGGGGGGGGGGGTGGATAAATCGCTGGGTAGGTTTTGGAAACTGCACAGATACAAAGATACAAAGGAAGAATCGGCCTATCACAACAGGGTTTAAATACACTGATAAAGGTATGCCAATGACAACAACAAAAAAAAGAGAAAGGGAAAGTATTTTGAAGCCTAAACCGATCATAATAATATGGAGCTTAGAAATTCAGTTAGAGATAATCTGTCTAATACTATAAATGATGATTATTTTCAGGATATCATTAGGGTGGAGGATGTCAAATAGGTATTGCAAAGAGAAAAAGACACTGCGCTGGGGCCAGACAGAGTGAGGTATGCCCATGTAAAGAGCATGAGTGATGAAGACTTGAGGTAGATGACATTTCACTTTAACAAGAGCGTCAGAACAGCGTCAGGACCCTAGGATTTGGTAAACAGCTACCTGATCCCCCTTCCAAAACCAGGCAAAGATCATTCCAGACTCTGCTGTTTCAGGATTATCACCCTACCAAATACTTTTGGCAAGGTGCTAGAGAAGATAATTGCTGTTAAACTACAAATGTTTTTGGAAAGAGAAGAGCTCCTGCCAGAAAGTTTGGGTAGTTACCGGCTACGGAAAGATACATATCTGCACTCATGGAGAAGTGGGTTTGTCCCTGGCTTGTGAACTAGACAGCAGCTGTCCTGCATTCACGTATGGTTGCCCTTCGCCTGGGTACATGGACCTCAGAACCATGTAAAATCACCCCGTGACTACCCCGGGGTTCTGCAATTTCACCAGTGCTCTTCAATGTGTATGCAAGCAAGATCGCAGAACTTGAAGCACCAGGTGTTGGAAGGATACTGACATTTGATGAGGATGTTCTTGCATATAGACAAGGGAATGATAGACAATGGATAGCCCAAGAGCTGTATGCAATTGTAGTCAAACTGACTGATTGATGTGCAAAAATGGGAGCTGTCATCAACTCACAAAAGGCGGCTGTTTTGTGGTGCTCTCTGGACAATAAAATTGTTGGAGCTGATGTTACAAGCCTCAAAGTTAATAACGTTAACACTAAAAGAGAAAACAAACTGAGGTACCTGGGTATCACTTTAAATATAAAAGCCTGTCCTATAGGGATCACATGGAGGTAGTTGTTGTAAAATGCAGAGCGTGGTGAGAACAGTGAAAACAGGCATACTTTTTTTGCAGAATGGCAGGCATCACTTCAGAGTTCCCGAGCAGTTAGCATCCTTTGGATATTTTCTCCAGGTCATGCAGGTGTGTTGGGAAATGAGTAGGCAAATAGACTGCACCACTTGGTGATGAATTAATATATGACACGTTAGATATTATTGGGGCTTTTTGGGAGCGAGTAAACAGTGCGAAGGCAGATAGATCATTACGGTCTAAAGAGAATGGCGCTGCGATGAGTTGTCAGGGAATCTGGCCAATGCTCAACACTCAGGGAAAGGATGAGACTAATATACAATCAGACTGTTTCTTGTACCATCGGAATTGGAACTCTTCGCTTGCTGCTGAAGCTGGGGACTGAGCACTTATGGGAGTGTCCTGAGTGCTGTGATGATATCGATGCTTAATTCAACATTTATGTACAAAATAAATTTAAGCTAATTTACAAAAGGTTAGACAATGTCAAGCTAGATAGGTTTTCAGAACTGGTTACCACTTTAATTTTGCTAGCCATGGAGATGGAGGGAGCTTGCGAGACACACACACACACAGAGAGAGAGAGAGAGAGAGAGAGAGAGAGAGAGAGAGAGAGAGAGAGAGAGAGAGAGAGAGAGGGAGGGACACAGAGAGAGAGAGAGAGACAGACAGACAGACAGACAGACAGACAGAGAGAGCATTGGTTGACTGTTTATAGTTTTACTAATCAGTTGTAGCGTACCGTAATTAGTTTTTCACATGAATGGTCGGTTGTCTAGGTGCAAGTGTGGTGGTAGTGGTCATTGTTCCTCTCCAGAATAGTTTTTCGTAGGATTAACATATCCATGAAGAGACTACCTGAGCCTTACATATCTGGATCCTATGGTGCATGGTCGGAGAATCAAAAGGTACTCATAGTATCTCTCATGCAGCACAAAGCAACGTTCATGGCTTCATTTTGCACATGTTCGAAAATGTCGACCTGTGTGTGGCTAACAGTAAGGATGGTTAAAGTATACATGGGGGGTGAAAGAGCCTGTCAGAAGCAGAAGCAGTCTGCTATTTGCTGGTCGCTGCTATGGTCCCCAGTTCTGATATACCTTTGAGAGTTCTTGTGATACCATGGTCGCATGTTCCTTGAAGTCCAGACAATGATCAAACCTCACGCAGGCATTTCATAATGTGAGTTCTGGTCAAAGCTTCGCCCCTCATTTTATCAGGAGCCAAAATACACTTATAGAGGGATTCTTACAAAGACACTCAAATCGACTCTTTCTGCTCTTACAGGCGAATCATTGTGTTGAACTCTTTCCATGCTTTTTAATGTTTTCCTCTGTCGGTTTACGTTTTTTTTTTTTTTAAATTCTAATAATTATCTAAGAGAACAAAAATAAACATACATTGTATTCTTATCAGTGTTGCGTAAGTGAGGGGAAACTGACCCCACTAGGATCGTACACTGAGCGATTAACACCCTGTGACGCAGAGTGCAATGCATCATTACTCGGATGAGAATCCCCCAGGTGAAGTCACAGAAGCCACGTTTAAACGTAAAGTTTTATTAGGAGCTCTGATGGTTACAAAGTAACAGGAAGTCTAGAGAGGCTGGAGCTGCAGTATCAAATAAATGGGACCTATTGCGGGACGGATTTATTACCAATATATCAAAGCTGCCTATCAGTGCTAGCCATAAATGAACATTGGTGATCAAGCCAAAATATTTGCCTAACTTCTTATACCTTAGGTGGTCAAGTAAGAAACATTTGCATGACCTCTTGTTTACCTACCAGCTGCTTTTTATTTCTGGATGTCACAATCGAAATGAGACTACAGCCAAGTATCATAACAGCGATGATAATGATGGTCAACGCCTGAACAGCGGTACTGACATCGTATAGGCATGGGGTTGCGCTTATACATGTTTCACAGCCGCGAGAACATGGCAAACACTGAAACTGAAACAAAGCTCTCAAATAAGTGAAACGTAGGCAAACATTAAAACATCAAAGTTACAACAGTGACTACAAAGCGAGGCACTCAAATGACCAATTAGTTTAAATGTAAAATGTTTACCAAACAAACTTTTTAACGCGTCCATCTTCTGTTCTAAATTCTGTAACATTCTGTCAAATAAATGTAACTATCTTGTTAATGCAACCTCGAATTTCATACTGATATGTTCTAGTCATTTCAACATAATTAAGTAAGTGAGATAGCTAGATAGGTAAGTAGTTGTACCTCACCAGGATAATCACAAGCGATAATCAGCCGGTGACACACAGTGCCACCATGCGGATGAGGATCACCAGTGGAGAGGTCCCAGAAACGCCTTACAGACATTATGGCCTAGGCCATATTTATTCCCCGGTTATTTCCAGGGCCCCCGACAGAAGCCAGGGTGGAGCTTCAAATAACAAAATTTTGCATCCCACATGGTGACGACTCAATGTAAGTGAGATAGGAAGGTGCATGTGACGGCATAAAATCTACCTTTGACTGATTTTACTGCACCCAATTTAAGGATAAATTACAAATGGTTTTCCGCGTTTATTTTAAAAATTACGCAACAAATAATGTATTCATGTCGGCTTGCCGAGGTGAAGAAACACACACACACACACACACAAACACACACACACACACACACACACACACACACACACAAGAACAGATACCTGTGATGCAGATGAACTCGTGTTTGTGTGTTCAAAATATTCTTCTATGTCTCTTCCTCTAAACGCCTTCAGGATGGCTGAAGCATTGGGGAAGTAAAAGCCGTCCTTGCACTCACAAACATAGGCCCCAGCAGTGAATCCTTCATTTAGTGCAACACACTGTTTTAGAAAACATGATATTTATTATTTCAAATTAGCAAACTGAATTATCGTTATTGCAAGTCAGACACATTCATTGTAGCTGAGATCTACCCTGCAGTATTTCTACTAGAATGTGGCTGTTAATTATAGCAGCTGTGTCGGCTCACCAGATTTGTGTATGTTTGCCCCCTTACAAAGCCTTTAACTGTCGCAGTCTCGTACTTGTCACCAGTGCGTTTCATCTTCATCTCTCTCTCTCTTTATATATATATATATATATATATATATATATATATATATATATATATATATATATATATATATATATATATACACACACACACACACACACACACACACAATATTACGAGTTTACGATGAGTTAAAAGTTGAATGAATGGTGAATCCAGAATGGACATCAAAGCACTCGGGACACTCCTATAAGCGCTCCGACCTAATCTTTAGTAGCAAACAAAGAGTTCAAATTCCAATGGCACTGGTAACTGTCTGATTTTATATCCGTCTCGCCCTCCCCCAGGGTGTTGATTGTCAGCAAGATCCCCTGATAGCTCCTCGCAGCGCCATTCTCCTCAGACCGAACTAATCTATCTGTGCCTCCGCACTGTTCACTCGCTCCCAAAATGCCCTCACAACATCTAGCATGTCATACATCAATTCATCACCAAATGGTACAAAACTGGCCAGTCTATCTGCTTGCTCGTTGCCCAATAAACGGGATGTCCTGGAAAAAATATCCTAACTACCAGGGACCTCTGAAGCGATACTAGCCTCTTTTCACAAAGCATGCCTGTAACCACTTTTCTCATAAAGCAAGAATATTACTTGAAAGTGCACGTTCACCACAAGCACAGATCCAATACAATAAAGCATGTGCCAGAGTAAAGATTGTGGTTACTAAGGCTAAACGAGATAAATATGCAGAAACTTGCTCCAACTTAGACCTTAGACAAATTGGAAATAAAGCATGGACTTTAGTTAAAAACCTCTCCGGAGATAGCAGAAGAGGGAACCAAAAAACCAGTGAGGGATGGGAGTGAGACAATCACTGAAGACAAGATGAAAGCAGAACATTTTAATCATTATTTTGCCTCGGTTAACAGAGCAGGTAAGCTGTCAGAGCTCGATTGAACAAAGCTCTCTCAGTTAAAGAAACAAGAGAGAGAGAGAGAGAGAGAGAGAGAGAGAGAGAGAGAGAGAGAGAGAGAGAGAGAGAGAGAGAGAGAGAGAGAGAGAGAGAGAGAGAGAGAGAGAGAGAGAGAGAGAGAGAGAGAGAGCTCCAACAGCCAGCGAATCCTTTTTTTAAGGCGAGTTTAGCATGGACGAATTAGAACAAGCCCTAAAGAAACTAAAACCTAGAAAATCCCCAGACCCAGATAAAATTGAAAACGAAATACTGCTACATCTTGCCCAGTCTGGTAGGGAAGTGGTTCTCAGGCTAATTAATAAAACATTGAGATCAAGCAAACTTCCAAAAGCATGGAGGAATGCATATATCGTCCCCATACTTAAAATCAAAAAGCCTCCAGAGGACCCCAAAAGCTACCGCCCGATATCCTTGACAATATGCTCGGGCAAAGTTGCAGAAAGAATGATAAACAGGCGCTTGTATTGGTTCCTAGAGAGTTCTGGTGTTCTATGCCATGAACAGGCAGGCTTCAGAACCAACAACTCTACAGAAGACCAGCTGTTCAGACTGACACAAAGAATACATGACGGCTTCCAGAATAAGAAACACACAGTGGCCATTATTGTCGATCTCCAGTAGGCCTATGACAGAGTATGGAGAAAAGGTCTCCTAATAAAGATAATGAGTATAGGAATACATGACAGATTGTATAGCTGGGTGAAATACTTTCTGATAGAACAATCTAGACTAAGATACACATCACAATCTCATCTAAAGAAGTCTTGGAGGAGGGCTTGCCACAAGGCTCATCATTGAGATGTACACTAATCTTTATCAATGACTTCCAGAACAAATAAAGGCCGAAAAAGCCTTGTACGCTGATGATCTAGCAATATGGCAGAGTCATAAAAATGTACAAAGTGGAGCCCAAAGACTAAATGGAGACCTCAGAAGGCTGCATGAGTACTGTCAAAGATGGAAACTCAAGGTTAACTATTCAAAGACTGTCTACACAATCTTTATCAAAAGCCATCAAGTAGCAAGGAAGAATATTAACCTAAGGTTTAAGCACCAAGTGATTAAAGAAGAGAATCCTACATATCTTGGAGTCACACGTGACCGGCAGCTCAGCCTCAAAAACCACACTGAAAACGTTAAGAATAAAGCATTTAGGCGGTTACAGTTATTAAAGAGACTTGCAGGTACATCATGGGGATCAGACAAGGAAACTCTGAGAGGCTTGTATCTTGAATATGTTCGCCCTGTGATAAGAGTACAACAACTCACTGCTTACAACATGCTCCAAAACTAACCTAGAGACTCTTGGCAGAGTACAAAACAATGCCCTCCAATTAATCTGCGGAGCTATGCGGTCTACTCCAACTGCTGCCTGTGAAATCCATACAAATGTGGAATACCTCGGGTTGCGGAGAGAAAAAGCCACTTTATAAACTTATGAAAGATGCGTTAGAATGAATCGTAACCATCCCAATAGACTACGTATAGAAAGCTAAGAATACAAACAAAGAATAAAGCACAAATCGGTTTTTCACTCTGTACATGAAATACAGGACAGACACTATCTTCCAGAAAGACGTCTAGGCATCCAGAGTGTTGCAAGAAACCTACCGCCACATGCTCGCTTTAAAGCTTCAGAAGTCTGAATGAATTTGGTAGACGAAGAAACCAAACAGTCTGACCCAATCGCCCTAATGAACTCATCGCTAAAGACCATTAGATCTTACCCAAAAAAATAGATACATGATGGATACTGATGGATCTGCATATAAAGCTACCATTAAAGCAGGTTGCGGAATCTACATAGGTTATCCTCATGGATCTGTTGAAGAGATTTATGATGCATGCGGGGAATTGTTCTCAAATTATGAAGCCGAAATAATTGCACTGGAAAAAGCTGTATACCACCTAAAGACTGCAATGGATGTTTACCCTTCAAAGGCCCAAAATATTGTCATCTTTACGGATTCAATGTCTGCTCTTCAAGCCCTTGAAGGCAGTGGACGCTGCAGAACTGACATAGGCAAGATAATTCTGGGTGCTGATCAGCTCATTACCTCATACAACATCAGAATAGTGATGTAGTGGATTCCAGGCCACACCGGCACACCAGGTAATGACAGAGCTGACAGTCTGGCATAGAAAGGAGCAACACAAGAACAACCACCTACAGCGACAAGCCTACAGACAGCAAAAACACTGATAAGAGCTATAAACAAAAGAGATTTGGTTGAACAGATGGGCCATGGGAGACACTGGAAGAGAGGTTTATAGACACATGGCTGGCCCTGATCCTAATGACAGCATTAACAATCTAACAAAAAGGGACCAGGCCACCATCTTCAGTTTCAGAAGACAACATACTCTATTCAGTGGACATCTAAACAGAATACAGCCACAACACTGCCCAAAGTGCCAGATATGTAACTACCCCTAAGAAACTGTTGAACACCATCTCTTTGAGTGCCCAAAACTCAGCGAGGCTAGAAGAATGTTACTCCCTCCGAGACCAGACAAGTGGAACACCTTGTACGTAGGAAAAGAACAGCTTGTGAAAACATGCAAATTCTACTACATGGCATTTGGCCAGAGGGCTCATGTCCCGCTGGATCGATAACAACAACAACAACAACAACCTTTCAATACAGAGCCATCTGTATGGATAATCACAACACCTGGGCGGGAATTGTCATGAATCATTTGTTAAACCTGATTCTGCAGCACCAGCTGGCCAGTCCCTGCATTCACGACCCAAAGTGAATAGAACCCTACACAAGTCTAATTCTGCAGCACCAGCTGGCCAGTCCCTGCATTCACGACCCAAAGTGAATAGAACCCTACACATGTCTGATTCTTGCTCGGACACTTTGACCCACTTCTTTTCTCGCACACATGTCCAATTGTGTCTTCATCTTGCGCCATCCAAGACCTTACTCTTTTCAGTCTGTGACCCTTAGATCTACATGCAGAAGGTGCTTCTTGTCTGCAGCTACTCTGAGATATGACTTTGCTTGCAGAACTTTGAGCCTATCTGCAACAGTGGGCAGTGCAAGTGTATATCGCATACGTCCCAGAATTGCCTGCATGGCTTCACTCTGTATGCGTTCAAGTTTCATCAGCTGACTCTTTGAAATAGTAAGCATTCCAAGTCCATAATCTATCACCAACAGGATCACATGCTTGAACACTGTGAACAGCCTTCTTTGTTCCATGTCCATTGCTGCCATAATTTTAGGAGCATTGAGTACTTTTATTTTGTGTGTGCCTCCATATGATCCCTGAAGGATAGGCTTCTATCGAAAGTGATGAGTTATACCCCAGTTTGCTTTTTCTTTTGATGTTTCTGTCATTATTTGTATGACTTGAAAGATTAGCGTTTAAAATTATATTGACCAGAGAGCACTATCAAACAGCTGCCTTTCTGAATTGATGATAGCATTCATCTATGTATACCAACCGCTTACCTTGTCTACAGTCGCCTGTGGATCGTATGCTTTCTGTTGCCTATCACTCCCAAAAACATCGTCTGCATAAACATGAAGCATGCTGGGGTAGTCCCAGAGCGATGACACATTGTTCTGAGGTCCATGTACCCATGCGAAGGGCAACCTACGTGAATGAAGGACAGCGGCTATGCAGTTCATCAGACAGGGACATACTCCCTTCTCCATGAGCCTATATATTTAAATATATTATCTTACTCTATGCTATTCATCTTCAAGATCAAGTGTTGCCACAACCGTCGCCTGTCTATTCGAGAACTCCTCTTTAACATCAAAAGCAAAAGTAGCTGCATTTGACCAGGTATCTTTCCTTGGACCTTTTCGCAGGAACCAAAATTCCCTTTCCAAAAACATGTGTAGTTTAACAGCAACAATCTTCTCTCGAACTTTGCCAAAATTATTTTGTAGGGCGATAATCCTGAAATCGTTTGATCTGTAATGATCTTTGTCTGATTTTGGAAGTGGGATTAGGTAGCTGTGTACCCAATCCTGCGATACTAAAGTTGTTGTGATGCTCTAGTTGAAAAGCTATCTCTCTAAAGTCTCCATCACTCATGCTCTTTTTGTGGGCATACCTGATTCTGTCTGGCTCCAGCGCACTGTCTTTAGCATTTTTTCCATTATATATTTTATACCCTTCACTCTAAGTATATCCATTTATAGTATCAGACAGATTATCTCTAACTGACTTTCTAAGTCCACTATCATTATGATCAGTTTAGTCTATTGATTGGCACTTTTCCTTCTTTCCAGACGATAGTGTGGTATTACGCTATGAGGAGACGTGAGACTCACAGCCCCTAGCGATAGCGAGTGTGACTAGCAAGACTCCCTCACTGTCAAGAAAAGTCTTCCACAATGATAGCATGGGGTTTCAGGACCATATTCGTCAACATTTGTGTTTAATCCATTTCTTCTCAGACGCTCAGCTCTCATCCTTTCTGCCTTCCTGATATGCCCTCTCCACACAACACGGTCCAGGGCATTTTGTTCCCATGAGTCCACATCAATACCTGTATTATTCATGTCCCACTTGCACATATCTTTATACCGTTGAAGAGGTTGACCTCGACATCTTCTACCCGCCTTTAATTCACCATAAAGGATGTCCTAAGGTACTCTGCCAACCTCCATTCTCCAGCCACCTTAGCTTTCGTAGCCACTTGATACCTAGTATTCTTCTTAGGCATCCCATGTGAAAGCTATTTAACCGTCTCTGCTGGTCCAAATAAGTTGACTAAGTTTCACTGCCATAAAGCAGAGTGCTGAATACACAAACCTGATAGACAAGAGTTTTTGTTGTAATTGTGAGCTTTCTGTTCCCCTAAACCCTTTTTTATCAATCTACTCATTGTTGTTGATGCCTTACGTATCCTGATGTTGATTTCTTGGTCAAGCGGTAGTTTGTTATTCACGGTGAAACCCAAATAGGTAAAATGGTCTTCTTTCCCGTCAATGTAGACTGTAAGTCTATCATTAACACCTTGCACCATAGCTAGATCTTTAAGCTGGAGACATGGGATACAATGCAGCGGACATTTTAAAAACACTCTCTTCAAATGGGTACATTGTAAAGCTACTTACACTAGTAGTTGTCTGACAACTGTGTGTACCTCTGAAGATGTCGAACACTTTGACGTCGTCATCGTCCTGCAGATCACACTGATTGATGTTCAGGTTTGTCAGTTCAATGTCTATTGTAGCAACGCCACTGCCAGTAGAATACAACAGAAGGTGCGTTCATTATTGTTTTATATATATATATATATATATATATATATATATATATATATATATATATATATATCATAGGGCTTTTCAACTAAGTTTACCAGCTGGCCAAAATGTTGACAATGGGGATCGTCGCGAGCCAGTGGCCCGAGCCCAAATGTGGGAAGATTATTAACACGCATTAACTGAGAAAACTGAGAAATGCGTCAATTTGAAACTCTGAAACGGTTACGTCTAGGGCCTAACCTACGGTAATATGAATGAAACAGTGTTGTAAACCATTATAAAGTACAGTGTACTGTAACCTCTTGTAATGATGAATTAATGCTCACTTTGAATTAAAATACACGTATTTCCAACTTGTCGTTTGGTTTATAATAAACTATAGCATTGTCACTTCAATTGCAGTGCATATTATTAACAATAACTTCATATGGCGTTCTGCAGGTTTAAGGTTCGAATCGAGAGGATCGACTTAATTGCACCAGGTTTTATCCCAGACAGCTCGGTCTCTATCCGCAGAATTGCTAGTCGCCTGCAGAGAGCATCGCACAGAGCACGAACTTCGTAGCTCCGGCGACGCCCCCTGGGATCTCCTAAAAAAATTCACTCGTGAACTGAACGTCGACGCCAGTGAAACGAACCCACGAACTTCAGAACGCGCGGCATACGGCTTGACCACTTCGTCACAGAGACCTCTCCATTACTTTCTGCTGAAGAAACAGAAATTATTGGAAAATGTTGCATTTCCGTTTCTAAGCTCATTTTATAAAATGTGCCTGTGGTGAAGTGAGAGAAATTCTCACGCAATCATGCTGCCTATCACTGCTCAATGAGCTCCTCCAACTGTTTCTCTTGAAGACATTCATGTGTGAAAAACTTGATTCACAAGCAAAAGTTGAAAAAAAAAAAAAAAAAACATGGTAAGTATGAATACGGCAACTAGCATTAGGGAACTGCTCCTGTTGAATCATTTTGGACCAAAAATTGGAGGTACCACTTTTTTGAAAATCTCAGTTCAGTGCGCTGGAACTTTGCATTTCCACAAGTTCTAATTGTAGAGAACCTTCATCAATAAAGGATAACAGCTTCTTAGCATTCGAAGAAAAATCACAAGAGGGAGGGATTTTAAAAGGATCTTAAACAAATAAAATAGATTTGTTTGGGATACAGAAATCTTTAAATCTGGTGTTGAAATTATTGTGATGTTTATAATATAGTGCAATCATTCGACTGGCTATGGTTGCTGAGTCCGATGTTAAAGAAATTAAATCCTTCAGGTTTGGAAAATGAACAGTTTGGCTGTTTGCATATCGGTTACAAACAAAGGCTTATCTCGAAAGGCTTTCAATTTGTCAAAAAGATCTATGACTGTCTTGTGTCTTCCTTGCAGTTGCACATTCGGTGTGTTTAACTGAGCAAACAAATTGCAAAAATACTCTGTCACGTGACACTTCCCTATACTTATCTCCCTTACGTTTTCGAATAATAAATATTTAGGTGTCTAGTCATTGTTGAATGCACGATTCTCATATTCCAACTTTGCTCTCTTACTAGTAGGCCAACTAGCCATAGCATCAAGTATTTTAATAAATTATTTAAAGTAAAAAATTTAAAACACTATTACTGATTCAGTTTGTTACTACACAATCGCGTCCGGCAGTCTACCTTTGTCTGTGACGTGTGTGTAACTGGATGTTCACGAAAAATCTGATTATAATCTGTTAACAGTATCATTGGCAAGTATTCCTTGGTGTCCAGTGTCATGTAACCAATGTTCTGCTGCACCCATTGTCATTAGTTTGTGTGTACTAGTGGCCACCATTAAGGCGAGTTTCTCAGTAATCTTAGCTGTTACCATCAGGACCGTGCTGGTATTTCCATTCGCCCTCCTGTCCAGTAAATATCTTACCTTCATTGACTGTCCAGTGGAGTGGTAGCTTTCTTACCCTTTACCTGATTCGTTGGCTCCAAACAGGCGAGTTCTGTTATTTGAACTACCTTTTACCTGGAACTAATTACATTTTCTTTTTCTACGGCGGTTTCCTTGTGTCTCCGCATTTACAGATTCCAGACAAACATTTCCTATTGACACTTTCGACACAACTGGTTTCTGAAAATTTATGCAGATACATTGATTTATTTAAATTAATTTTTAATAACTTCATTTCAATGTTTTGGCAACGATCGGCGGGCCACTTTCTAGGCCTCAGCGGGCCAGATGAATAGCCCTGATATATATATATATATATATATATATATATATATATATATATATATATATATATATATATATATTAGATCATAGGGTTACCAGTAGAATTTTATAAATAATATGTCGGTGAGCTCATATCTGTCTTGTTGTAACTTTCTTATTTCATTCCTTCGCTGGAGAAAACAAAGGCTTGCCAAAATGAAATTCCTTAAAATGGGGCTTACGTTGATCTTAAATAGTTATCTGCCATACGCTAAGTGTTACATTTTGAAATTTACGATATGCAGTTTGGCTAGAGGAATGACAAAATGCAAATGCTGAAGATTATTAGAAAATATACATTTCAACAGTCACTATAACCGCTATTCATAAACGATGGAAGCAGCAGTCACGACAAACCAACAGGTGCATAGGCATAATTGCATAAGAAACACCGTCAATTAAATGGCATCCAGCCCCACGCCATTTGCAAAATATACAGTTTATAACACACATCTCCTGAAATACAGACAATAGGCATTCCCCGTGAAATTACCAGCTCACGGAGTCGTACCCTGCACTCAACTCAGTAGCTGGTGGACAGAACCGGATTTTATTTGTTGTCCCATCCAGTTTCTTACTAACTGTTAAGATCCCAACATTTCACTGGGTTACTGAGGAGAAATGGGTCATCGCGTGTATATGAAGTAGGCTTGAGAAGAGAGGCTAAGAAACATTTGGAGTCTTGTATTGCACATAACTACTTCATTACGACCAAGAAAATTGTTGAACAATTTTGTTTAGTAGCTTGTGTTAAGAAGAAACTATGAAAACTAAAAAATATTAAGCATAAAATAAGCTTGGAAATTGAAGCAGCACAGGGACTAGCACGTTTGCCTGCCTGCCTGCCCAGTCGTCCCAGGTACACATCATCCCAGAAGCAGATTTTAAAAACTGGCCTTGGCTGCCAGACCTACCGAGGCTAAAACGGGTACAAGGAAATGTTTCCTAATGTAAATGTGGCTGGCATGACATTGACCCCATCATTCATAAAGTGTTGCTTGATCCATACAATTTAGCACTAGCTCTGACCATCTTCAGTGATAAAATGATAAGAGACTTTACTGCAAAAATATTGGCTTTCTAGTCGGTGAGTCTCCTTGCACAGTTTAGACAATCAGCTCACCAAAGGCTGAGATCACCACAGCATAATTATCCAAAAACATATGGATATGAGTATTCACATTTGAAGGACACAGATCCATATCAAGGAAATTGTTTATGTACTGAATTTTTAAAATTCAAATATTTGTACTAACATTTCCTCTTTACTGCAAATCCGGTTTGTTAAAATTTCAAATATAGTCTATGTTTTTTTCTCTCTCGCCTGTGCTTTTAAATGTGTGTCCGAGCAAGATTGCAAGCCTAGAAGAACCAGGAGGTAGAAGGATACTGACTTTTGCGAATGATACACTTGCATATAGGCAGGGGGAAGAGAGGGAACAAACAGCCCGGGAGCTATAAGCGACAGTAGACAAAGTGACTGAGTGGTGTACAGAAATGAGAGCTGTCGTCCACTCGGAAAAGGGGTCTGTTTTGTGGTGTTCTCTGGACAGCAGAATCGTTAAAACTAATGTTCCAAGTCTCACGATAGATGATAGAAACGTCAACAGAGAGAGCAAACTGAAGTATCTGGGAATTACATTAGACAGGAGCCTGTCATTTAAGGACCATGTAAAGAGTATTGTGACGAGATGCCAAAAAAGGGCTTAGTGTTTTTAAGACTATGGCTGGAATTGACATAGAGCAGAGAATGCTTTTTACACTATACCAGCACCTGATCCTTTCAGAGGTTGATTATGGTCTGGGTCTGCTTACCATCTCCAAGAGTCAGATGGACAAGCTAGAGCACATACAGAACGCAGAGACACCCCAGTGGTGTGTATGCGATACATACTTGGTTTGCCGACTGTTACAGGTAGGTACAAGGTGTTGCAGGCGAAGTCATATCTCAGGGTAGCTGCAGACACAAACCACCCTTTGCACGAAGCTCTGGGTGCATTTAGGAATCAGCGGCTGATAAGAGGGAAGACATGGATGGCTCAGGCAGAAGACACAATAGACAGGTTTTGATCCCTAAGAATATAAGCGAGGAGAGTTGTTCAAAATGCCACCCCAACAGTCAGACGTGTGTAGGGTCATAATAACACTGAGCCGGAAATGCAGAGACTGTCCAGCAGGTGCCACGGAGATGGAAATTCAGCAATTAATTCAAGATTATAGAATCTGGCTCAGAGGATTTGATTATTTACACAGACGGTTCAGTGTCAAGAGGCAAAAGAAGTGCTTGGGGTATTTTTAAGCAAAAGTTAATGGTCGACGTTTGGTGCAGGAGAGCTTAGATATGATACCACAATATCTAACTTGAGAATGGAGGTCGGGGCCATCACTGCAGCTTTCTGCTGGCTAGAGAACACGACACACACACATCGTGATTGTAACTGAGTCAGAAAGCATGGTGAAGAATGTCAGAACAGGTATGCTTCGTGCAGAGTGGCATGCTTTACTGCGGAGAACACGGGTGAGGAGTATTGTATGAATTTTTTCACCAGGCAACGCCGGTGTGTTGGGAAATGAACAGGCGGACAGACTAGCTGGCTCTGCACAACTTGGTGGAATACTGATGCATGATAAGGCAGACGTGGTTAGTGCCTTGTGGGAGAGCGTGTGCAGTTCGGAGGAGCAGATGGATCCCCACAGTCTGTTAAGATTGATGCAGGGGGGAGTGACGAGAGGTTCTGGCAGATGCTCGAGGCTCAGAGGTAAGGCAAGAAATACGTTTAATCAGAATGCTACTGGCACCATTAGTATCGGAACTCTTCGCTGGCTGCTGGAGATAGGGACGGAGCGCTTGTGGAAATGCCCCGAGTGCTGTGATGTCGGTTCTTGAATCAACTCAACTCATACAGTCTGTTTTTATCACATTAGCCGTCAAATTCTTTTTTCTCACACGTTAATGCAAATAAGGTTTTTGAGAAGATCACAGATATGGTTTATTTTATAATGTTAACCGACAAAATTATATTTTTCTATAACACAACTGAAACAAATGTATTAGATGTAAAATGGTTACCTAAAACTGAGATTGTCCGCACTGGACAAGGAGAAGATTGGTGACGAGTATGTGGACATCCAAATATTTCCACCGCCGCAATCAAAGTATGGATACGTCCACTTGCCATCTCCATAAGTCACAGCAGGATATCTCAAGAGATTAGGAACTGTGTGACCACTACCACTGTAAAATACAAGTAACTTATCATTTCAGTCATACATTTTACTAAACATAAAACAGTATGTACGTGGATCACATTTTTATGCAAGAACAACTTTCTGTTATCTAACCACGTTATTCGATAAATCGATGATGATACATATCATAGCTAGGCAGTCTAGTTCACTGTAGGAAACGTTCAAAACGAAACGAGCCAGTACTTTAGAAAATTGTCCTTGACCTAAGAATGACTAATGATTTAAGAGAATAGTGGGGGATAGGACATGACAGGACCACACACACACACACAAAAAAAGAGCCGCCGCTAAGATTGTTATCTCAATCTTGCACATTTGAGAAAGAATAAATAATAAACGAATTAGACTTCCTAGATGTCCTTCACTTAATAAAGATGTTCGTACACGTTACAAGGGGAGTTCAAACAGTAATGTACCACATCGTTGTTCTCAGCAGCTGTTTATTCATAAATCATGACATGTATGCGAATTTTACATGAATGTGTCCTATAAACATCGATATTATTCAACATAATCCCCTCAACCTATACAGCCTTATGCCAGCAGGAAACAAGTACGTGTATTCTCAGCTTCTGCCAGATTTTATCTTGATATTTTAGCGGTTTATTTGTTGCATGAATCTCTTTTTCGCAATTCTCAAACCTTCCCCTTCCAAAAGAGTGCATCTTTAATTAAGCGGACCAAACAGATAAAAATCAGAGGGGGCCAAATCGTGACAAGATGATAGATGAGGGAAGCTGAGTCCAACTATGATTGCTTGCCGTTTTGCCACACTTGTATGAGGGTACGCATTGTCGTGAAGCAGAAGCAGATCATCCACAAGAATCACACCTTACATTGCAATGATGACCTTTCAAGCTGAAGGGGTCTTGAATGTCTTTTTTCCTGGTGATGGCGGCAGATGCTATCAAGTTGACTGCTTTTTTGTCTCAGGTTTACCTGCAACGAACTTAGCCAAAAAATGTTCTGCATCACCATGGAAACGCGACTGATTCGCCTATTAATAAGAACAATTAACATTTCTGCGTTGGTGGCTGTGGCAGGATGTCCATATCACGGTAGCTCGAGCAGCTCCGTACTGCGCTTCCTGATTTTTTTATTTTCTGAACCCAGCGACTGTCTGTTCTCCTGTCAACAGCAAATCCCATACACGCTTATAAATGTTTACAAGTTTTCTTCTCTGCAACGAAAACCTCTTTTACAATTGGCTGTTTGTAACGCCAGTTTCTAACACGCTCCAATTCTATGGTTTAGGGCAGCCGCATTATTGGGGAAGTTGCGGTCCAATTTGATACACCCAGTTGTGTGCAAAATGTGATGCTTCTATCTTCATTTGTAGCTGAGAAAACGATGTTGGGCATTGCTTTCTTAACGCGCTAAATTCTCAGGATCAAAGGACTCCCACCCTCCTTTTTTGCTTTTGTTGACAGGAACATCGCGTTAGTACCATTTAGTACCACAGTTCATTAGACATGCTAATGCAAAAAAGCGGAAGTGACGAGACGCCATGTTGTTTTTCACGGGTTGCTATAGACTCATTGAGACCCTCAAAACAAGGCAGCATTGACCCTCAGTCATTAAGAAACTATTTGTCTGTTTTCTTTAGGTGAAAAATAATATGGAGACAACTATTACGAGTTACAGCAGAGACGCTGCGCTGTGACATTAGAGGGTTTTGTATCAATCGATTTTTTTTTTTTTGCAGCACGAACTGTATTTATAACATGTTATTTTTTGGGTGGCATCACTTTTTCTGCACGACCGCATTGACCTTCATTGAGAAACAATTTTTCCGTAATCTTTGCGTGAAAATTCATATCAAGACATTTATTGGGAGTTAATGAAGCAATGCAAGGTTGTGACATAACACCGTTTTGGTGCGCGAACGATAAATCGTTTTTTTTCCCCCTTCCAGAACGCAGTACATTTCAAGGTAAGTAAGTTCGTAAAAAATGTTCAAAATTAGCCATGTTAATACAATTTATTTTGTTTTTCTTTAATTCTGGGGTAATTTTTAAATAAATGTGGGAAATGTCACTAGGATTGGCTAACAATAAGTGGTTGAACATTTTTTTTCTAGTGGTATCACTGTTTTTGGATTTCAATCCAATATGTCTGCGCCAAACGACCGTTTGACTCGCTTCTACTTTATGATAAGTAAATATATCCATGCTAGTAATTCAGTTGCAGGAAGTACACATTTCACTTCTATAAAAAATTAAAATATTGCTTTATGATTTTCTTTCATAATCCTATCTTATTTAAAAGATGATGCTGCAGTAACTAACTTAAAATGCTTTGCAAATTAATAATGTTATGTGAGTTTAAAAAAAAAACATCCACTCCATTGTAACATTTGTTTCAAGCATCTTTCATTATTTAGATTTCATATAATTTTCTGTTAAAGATAAATTTTATGCTCACTGCCCACACTCGGATCAGAAATTTCACCAATGCTAGTTTTGAACTCAATATTTTTCAGTGAAGCAATTTAAATCTGATTCTAAAACAGAGTATAACTGTTTTTATTAACAGTGAAAGCATTTAATTAAAGTATGAGATCCTGTCTATCTTATATAATGGGTTTATTGTATATTTACAGTCATGGCAAGAAGAACAACTAAGCATCTCAGAGATCATCTCTCATATCTTGAGACAACATACCCTTGGCAACAAGGCTACATTGCTCGACGGCTGGTTTTTCTGTAGCCGGTGTTTACAGTGAAGTCCAAAGTATTATGCAAGAAGGAGAACCCAGCAAGTGTTTTAATGAGGGAAGTCTTACAACTAGCTTGTATACATTTGAAATTTTTTTTGGTTTTGTTTTTTGCATTAAAAAAATTCGTTAAAAGCCTAATGGCAGTGACTTACTTATTAGATTCTTCCTTGAACCATATCCTGTTACATTCAAGAGTCTCCCTGTCATACCTGTTTCACAACCTGGACATACTTTACCAACACAGCACCCTGAATCAGCATATATGCCAACACTGCAGACACTATTAGAGCCAGATACCCCACAAAGAGCATTACTCATACAGCTGTCGCCATTAGAAAATATACCTCTTTTTTACAGTCATGTAGATTACCATCACAAAGGCAGCTTAAAGGGGATTGTGCAAACTGTGCCACAAAGCAATGGACAATTATAATTATGGAATGGAAAAAAGGATGTTTACAATGAAAAATACAAAAACTTAAAATACAGCTAAGAGAAAAGCAACGATCATAGTTTTCTTTGAAAAGGTTACAGTCACGCAGTCTGTGGAGGGCAGAAAGTGCAACTTTGCAGAAAAGTTTGCAGAAGCAAAGGCTTCATTTGGATTAATTAACTACTTTAAAAAGATGGCGGAAGACTTAAAAGCAACTCTGGAATGCAGTGTGGTAATCAAAGTAATAAATGAAGTTAATGTCAATCTGCAACGGGCCCTTCAGATCAAAAACAATAAAATGAAGTCACTGCATAACAATATCGATCATCCATGTTGTCTCTGTTATTAGTGTATGTCTAGGTTTCTGTGGCATCAGCACAAAGTGTGTGATGTAATCACCACGCATCGATGCACATTTCAACTCAAATCACTGTGTTTCTGTGGTTCCCTACAAGGAAAAGTACTTGAAAAACATGCTTTTTGTGTATTGTTCGTCTTCAAGCCCAGGCTGATTATTATTGGTAGCCATGTCCTTCTACAGCCTTCTGTCTCATATATTTTAAATAAAATCTGATACAGATAATCCTCCATGCTATGTCAAACTGTCTAAAATCGTCTCCCTCGGTCTTAGCTGCCTTTCTTGTCCGCCAGCTCTCTGTTGTCACGACACACTGCACTGTCACTTTCTCACCATGCTACTCAAGAACGTACATTGTTTCCTTCTGATGTGGACAGTTAATTCTCTTCGCTAATTAATTTCTTTAAAAGACATCTTCATTACACATTTTATCTATCTATTGTGTTCCCATCATTCGTCTATAAAACCAGATATCTGTAGCATCCACATCATTTTTCTCTAACCGGTTCATCCGTCCGTGCTTGCCAGTATGCTTTATATAACTCTTTTCTCTTTTTCTCACTTCTGCAGACGAACGTAGATTGCGTTGACATTCTGAGTTATGTGAAATGCTGCTTTTGCTTGAGCTATTTTGCGTGTAACTTCTTTAATCCGTTTTATTACGTGGGTTTTACGAAGCTGTAAAAATGCAACTATACTAGTATAAAAGCTTGGGGGGGGGGGGGGGGGTAACTGTATAGAATCGTCAAGATGCTGACTGATGCAAAACAGAAATGTGAGATTTAATGTTAGTTGAATTCCACCCGCGCCCCCGGTATAGAATGATAGCTGCTACGCACACCTGAACTGACCCATTAAAGTCGTTTGTGTGCTACCGGGGTCTTTAAGGGAAGTAGAGAATTATGTTACTGTGATTATGCCGTAAGAGACATTAATGTGAATTGTCATAGCATTTCCCACCCCAAACAGATGTAAAATCTTACCAAATATGAAAAATGAAAAGAAAAAAGGGCGGCAACCCAAGATGAAAGGGGCTGTTCTACAAAAAAAAAAAAAAATAAAGTATGACACAGTATAGAGAAAGCCGTAGAGAGTTAATATTAATGACTGACTGACTTTCACCTAGTAAATTCTCTAGGTTGGTTACCTGGATGTCGTCATCAACTGAAGAAACCATTACAAGCAATAGGGAAAATTAAATACCAGATTAACATTTCAGTATTATTGAAAACAAAATGCATTAGTTGGAAAGGGCTCCGATAGTTTCTTTTCTTTCAAGTTTTTGTAGAAGTCCCAGTCTGTTTCCTTATAGTTCTAGCTGGCTATCTTCTTCTTGTTTTCTGGTGGCTTGACCTCTCCTATCATGACGACGACTGTTTTTTGATCGCTTTCTCTCAGCTGTTTCCTAACTTCTCTGTCTGCCCTTCATTGGATGTGTTCTATAGCTATAGCTAGCTCTGGTGTATGTTGTGTTTGCCATCGTCTAGAGTAGAAAGCTGGCTCAGAGTCAAGTTCATTGATTAGTATCAGCAGGTTTTCTACTATCCATTCCTCTATCTCTTCTCCTCTTGTGTCCATAAAAGCATAGCTCCAACTAGGGGACTGACTGTTAAAGTCACCGAGAATTGGGTTGCTCTTATTAGCTACTGGATGTCCTCTAGTTCCAATTTCTTGTTGTTGGGACAGTAAAAGTTAATAACGTATAGCGGCTCTAAAAAATATGTAGTTTTACGGTCAGATGTTCAGACTCACTAATGGTTCTGGAAGTTTCCGTGACTGCAGTAGTACCTTTAACTAATGTAATGATGCATCCTTTGTGGTCATCTCTACCTAGACTATTTTTTATAGCATCTAAAAGACAAGCGAGAGCCTGTATTAGAATGAATTTCTTGAATGCAGACAACATAAACCTTTTGTTCATAGATGAGTTTTATCAGTTCGAGCTTTTTCATCATGACCCCTTCTGCATTCCAGTGCATTATCTTTAGTGTTTTGTTATTATTTTGGCCACACGCATACTCTGCTTATTCCTGGTCCGCCTATGAGCAGAGCTACCATCAGTAGTTTGGGGTGGATCCCTTCGAGGCTCGGAGTAGTCTACAGGTGCAGCCCCAACGGTGTAGGTATCTAAGCATATTCATTAACTGTAGATTGTGTTGATGTCCGTTTCCATTTCTGGGTGCTGCTGTCTTTGATGAGGGAAGTCTCCCTATCCGTGTCCTGGTTCATCCAAACACTGCCTCCTAGAAATCAGAGGTTGTGGGAATTTCGCTTCTCCGATTTTGATTATCTAGGCTCCCTGGGTGTGACCTTGGTGGTGTTGGGAACATGTCCACGCAGCATTAGCCCCACCTTACGGGGGTGGGGGGGGGGGGCCGGGGGTCACACTCCATCGAGGGTTTCTATGTAGCTTACCCCAGCCGTAGCCTAATATTTTACCCCTTCAGGCATTAGGGTCCATTTTGTTAGCGATGAAGACTCGCTATGCGCCAGAGCCGTGTCAGTTACAAGAGATAGCACCATGTTTAGTACGGTTGTCTTGATTGGCAGAGACTAGGGTTCCGAGCAGGCATTTCCCATTTTTTAAGTAGGACCTTTACAGACCATCCTTGCTACTTTAATAAATCAAACTGCCAGTCTATGTCTGAGTTCACTTCTGTGGCTTCTCTTCTTCGATGTCTGGATGTACAGTTTAGATTGTGTGTAGCTACATTTCTTAAATGTATCCTTTAGGTATGACTTTGCAGGAACGCCAGAACCTCCAGCTACCACTAACACAAATTAAACCATAACATCAAACTCTACTGAGCATGAAGGACATGGGGGGGGGGGGCTGTATGTTACTGTTGCAGAGCAATCTGACAGATTTTCCTATTGCTGTCATTAGGGTTTTAACAAGAACGGTATTCTTTACTGGCACCAGTGGTATTGGAACTCTGCGCTGGCTGCTGAAGATATGGACGGAGCGATTATGGGAATTCACGTTCATGTTGTGATGTCGGTTTTAAATCAGTTCAACTTAATTCGTCTATAAAACCACACTTCAAAAATTTCTAAATAATTTGTCACTAAATGTCCAACTATCCATGATTCTGCTCCGTATATCAGGATAAGATTTATATAGCTCTTGAAAAGTCCATTTCTCGTCCTAACTGATAAAGAAAGATCGCAGAGAATTACAATTTTTAAAAATGTTTACGGAGCATTGATTATAATCAATGTACACATGATAAAAAAGCAAAGGACTCAAATTAATCTAGCACTGGACATAAGTTTGTCAACCGTGAGACTGGGACATGTGCCAGATTTGGTAGCAACATTCACAAGGCGCTGTGATGTCCTTTAAGAGATTATTAACCAAACACAAATACCGGAACGCTCTTCGATTTTATGCCGGACCAGTATGTGTTAAATTGAAAATTATTTCCTTCTTGGTCCCTGGTTTACCCAAAACCTCAGGTCAGAATTTGTCCTGTTTAATTTAGCGATCTGGGTAAATTAATTACTACACTTAACTCGCAATAAGCCTGCAACCGCTAATTGAGCATGTAAATATGCAACAAGAAGATAATGAGAATGAATCAAGTCAAAAGTAACCGGATGTGACAGAGTATTTAGATCGCTGCATGGACTTTATATGGGATAGAGGCACTAAAATCAGAAATGGAGGCTTTCACAGAACTAATAAATCTAATGAAGTCGAAAGAAATTTAACCGTATACCAAACTTTCTTTAACTCTAACTTCGCGTTTGAAATGCTGTTTAGATAAGAAGGAACAATAATGCATACAAAAAAATATTAATAATTCACAAACGTGTGTAAACTACTGACCCCACAGAATAAAAGTAACCAGTTTAGCAAAATAGCAAAGATTGAGTTCCGGAAGAAAACTAAACAAAATTTGGTGAATCACGAGGTGAAAGGTGAGCAATTTATGCTGCGTTAGGTGTGACACACAATTCTCAAAATATATATATATATAACTAGAAAATCCTAACATTCGAGCACAGTGGACCCCCATCTCTCTCCCCCCCCCCCCCCCCAAAAAAAAAAATAGAGATTGGGGAAATATACACAAAGAATAATTGGGTGAAAAGAAATGACTGGGATGATATAAAGTGACATCACAGATTATGCCTAGGATGGTCTAGCTTAATGAGTTTGTTTGAGGCTCTATAAGAATGAGGGGAAGAAGAAGAACGGGGGGTGGTGGGGGGGGGGGAATATTGGAGAGAATCCTAAGCACATAAGGTACCATAGGAATAAGTCACACCTAACAGATTTAATTAATGAATACACAGCAGTAATTGCTACAGTAATATCGAAGGTAATCTGGTTGTTATTAATCATACTTAAAGGCGACGACAATGGTAATGAAGAGAATAACGACTATCTATAATGGCAAAAAGGACTAACTTGGAGGAAAACTTGTCAGTGACCATCGATATGTTCCTGGTAGACACTGTTCGTAAAAGATCATACCAGTCTGTGGAGTTTGTCTGGTAATCATATCCGTTAGCAATGTCAAAGGTTACCAATGTGTCGTTGGCACGATCTCGACAGGCATAGGGACAGAATTTCTGTTTATCTGAGATGACTCCCGGCTCTAAAGCTATTGCAGAGCCATATATGAGACTGTTTCCTCGCACGTTATTTCGGACCTGCCAACAGAAAATACATACACAAAATCTTATCATTCGAGATAAAAAGATTAGGATGGGTCTAATCTTAGCCATCAAAGAGCTGCCGATCTTTCATATGTACTCATGCCTTGCGCACCCCATGCCTAGTGTGTTTTGAATATTCTTTATGTTGTTCGATCTCTGCTTTTTCCTACATAAACAATGCCTCCGTTTGTGTTCGTTGTAAGCCACTGCAATGATTCAAACGTTACGAGCCAGTGGCTCATTAGGCATATGAGGCTTGACTAATTTTTTTTTTTTAAATAGACCAATCACCACGTTGAGTGATGTGGTCACTATCACGCCGGTCGTCTTTACTTTCATGGACTGCGATGTTTAGTAAGGTACCATGCCACACTGGGCGAGTAAAACAGAAAGCTCCTAAAATTAAACTATGTAATCCTACTGTGTATGCCACTTGTCCGTATCCGGAAGCTGCTATAGCGCAGTGACTAGATGGTTGAAAGCCCGAAGGTCTTGGATCGAATCCGCATCTATGGACACAAAAACGGGGGGGGGGGGGGAGAACGGATGACCTTGGTTCCCAGGTCGACGAAAATTAAAGTGTGTACAAGAAAATGTGCTGGTAAGGGAAAGCGAGCGGCTTGATATTGATCACATCATCCATCGAGTACCGATTGGTTAAAACAAACAGCAGCCTAATAACATTTGCCCGATGTCGCCACAGGCGTGAAAATATTTCTTTTTAGCATGCCTAATCTCTAAAGACTGTGCACTATCTCGATGGAGTATCTAAAGGTTCAAGGACCATTGAGATAGTGCACAGTGTGTCCCGTCCGCCCAGAACTACTACTATCTACTTGTACCTGTCCCACTCGTCCATTAATTTTTTTATTTTATTTTGTAATATACTTTCAACACACTTTTTTTGTGTATTATTGTTTAATTTGTATGTGCTGATAAAGGCTCAATAGCCGCAACGTTCACGTTTTGTTTGTATTTGTTAAATTGTAAAGCTTGCTTATATACTTTTCGTTCGGTTTTATATCTTTTCTTGAGATTTTTGTAGCTTCACAGCAGTTCATTAATCTCACTCACCTCGTGTGCCCCGCCAGCCCAGAACTGCTACTATCTGTTTGTACCTGTCCCACTCGTCCATTAATTTTTATTTTTATTTTTTTTTAATATACTTTCAACACACTTTTTTGTGTAGTATTGTTTCATTTGTATGTGCTGATGGAGGCTCAATAGTCACAACGTTCACGCTTTTTTTTTTTTTTTTTTTTGGTGTGTATTTGTTATATTGTTAAGCTTGCTTATATACTTTTCGTTCGGTTTGAAATCCTTTCAAGGACCATAGTGCGACCATTACATCTTCAGTTGGACATAGCTTTCATGCCTTAACACTGACTTAGCCTCAGGATCTGCTTAGCTTACACTCATCACACCTGCTACTATGATTTCAAGCTTCCTTCTTCCAGTGATTATCCCTTGACCTAATTTCTGTCAGTCTTTCGTCAACGCAAATGACAATTCAGAAACCTCTCAGATTTGTATATTCAACGATCAAATAAGATCCAACCTATGCAGTTATGGATGTTTACAACTGCTCAAAAAGTGTATCGCTTATTTTTAGTGCACATTGGAAAACATACACCGCATCATCCTGTGGTGTTCAATGATAACACACACATCCCTGCTAAAACTATTTCTTGTTCCTGCCACACATTTGACACCTGATTTAGCATGTGAGGCTGTTAAATTCAAACATCACATTTATTTATCTGTAGCAGCTCTAGGTTTTGAGATACATGCATTTGAATGATTTTACATAGAATGAATTTTTTTTTTTCATACGGCCCGGGTTGGGGGTGGGGGGGGGGGGGGGGGGGGGGGGGGGGGGGGGCGCTAGGTTTGGGCTCCTCATATTGTTTGCAAAAACCTGTATTCATGTATTGTACGCATGCGATAGTGTACATGTGGGTACAGAAAATGTTTCGCATCTGGAATTCCAACGGTTCGAGATATATATATATATATATATATATATATATATATATATATATATATATATATATATATAAATAATATATATATATATATATATACACACACACACCCACAGAGAGAGAGAGAGAGAGAGAGAGAGAGAGAGAGAGAGAGAGAGAGAGAGAGAGAGAGAGAGATCGCACAAGAACTATGATGACTTATTTTTCTATGCTGTCAATGTTAAGGGAATTGTGGGAAAGAAAAAAAATCACTCCCACACCTCCCTCCAAAAAATGTAAATATCAAGATTTTGATTCTTCTGTTCCATGCGGAGATGACATATCAGTTCTAACTGTTAGCCAGATTTAAGATTCCCTTGACGCGTGTAGGCAGTCTGCTGAGAAACTATCGACCCGGCTGCTTCGAGATACCAGCTTCATGATTTTGTGTATTTGTGTAGTATTGTTTGATTTGTATGGGCTGATAAAGGCTCCACAGCCGCAACGTTTACGTTTTGTCTGTATTTGTTATATTGTAAAGCTTGCTATTATACTTTTTGTTCGGTCTGATATCTCTTCTAGAAGATGGGACAGCATGCGTGTGGAACAACAGATAACAGTGATAGGGATTTAGGCCAGCTTGAATTTAATGATCTATATCTCTCCAAGGGTGGGGGGGGGGGGGGGGGGCTGGTAGCGATATATTATAAATGTAAAAATGATTCAGTTCTGTTGCAAAACTAGCCTTTTAGAAAAAAAGCACACACAAAAATAAAATGCCAGCTGTGCTATAAAAATGGAATCTGTAAGAACAACAGTAATCACGTTCATTGTATTAAAAAAAAAAAAACCATCAGGAAAGCATTGCTTCAACGAAAAAACCTGCAGGTGAAAGTAAATACTTACCAAGGCATAGAAGACATCGGCATTAAATCTGTCTAGATGACCATCCAGTGCTATGATGGAACTAAGGAAATTTGCGGTCCGTGTTGCTGGCTGCGTATAGTCTATCCAAGAGTTATGGTCAAAGTTGAGAATCAGCTTCTGACCTGTTCCTCCCCTGCACGTTTCTGTGTGTATAGACTTGACATAGTCGAGAGCTCGCCGAACAGCTTGTATTTGATCTGTACAAAATAGGTGCACAAACTCAGTTTATGAAAAAAAAAAAAAAAAACTAGTAAAGAAACTACTAAATCATCTGACAGGCCGAGCAAATGAAAATAATATATTTGTTATTATGCAAGCTGTAGACACGTAACCTGTCAGCTCAGAGCCCATGTTTAAAAACGCTTTATCTCAATGACACTTTAACAAAACCTAACATCGGTCGATGGGTTTTAACATTGAAACCAGACAATGACATAGTAAAGAAAGTCGGTAGTTTTATCCTATTTCGCCCAGCTAGTGCTATTTGGTATATAAATTATGGGCTCATTGTGGGCTAAAATTGCAGCCATGAATTTGCAACAGAATCTCAGATCCATCAATGAAGAATGTAAATCAAAAAATATGAGAATCAACATTGAAAAGACAGAAGTCATGTCAGTATGAAGAAAATAAGCAGGATTTAAACATAGCATTAGAGCATACATATTTTTAACAGGCATCTGAGTTTTCATATCTTGGAACAACATTCACTGAAGATGGTAAATTGACATCAGATCCAGTAAAGCTGGCCAAGTATTGGGACAGCTAGCTCCCCTCTTACAGCATAAGGCAATCCCAATTAGCACAAAGAGACAGCTCATACAAAGCATATTTATTTCCACCTTTTGCTACCAGTGCCAGACATGGTCACTCAGAACAAAACATAAAAGAAAATTAGTAGCCATGGAAATGAAGTGTCTGAGAAAGGCTGTAAGAGTGACCTGAAAAAAATAAAATCAGGAATAAGGTCATACGAGATACAGTCGGCACAGAACCAATTCTAAATTACATACAAAGACAGCAAATCAAATCGTTTGCCCATCTGGAGAGAATGCCTCCTGATGCTATACTATACAAGGCATATAAAAACAGAGGAGAGGGACGTAGAGCAAGAGGTAGACTAAGAACATTTGGAAAGATCAAATCAGAGAAACTCTACAGCACTACAATGTGTCTATGGTCAAAGCAGCCAGAAGCGGTAAAAGAGGACGTAAAGAAGACGAAAAAGAATTATGGGCGACTACTATATATTTGGCAGCTTGGGTAGCGTTGTGGCTTCCATGCTAGCGATAATGTTGTATTTAATTAAAATACCCATAGAAAGGGATCGTCAAAATTGACTACAGCTCCCAGGTAGGCCCTGCAAAAACATGAGTAGAAAGAAATGTTATGGGAATAAAGGTTTGCAAAATTTGCAAATAATACAATAACAGTGTGACAAGTAAATCAGCTTACACACTGATGTCAAACAAACTGTTTTAGACAGACACCTGGTGAGATGTTTAAAAGAAGACCAAGATTATGATTCGTTCCTTCTCCACTGTCGAAACGGCTTCGCTTCCACATACCTCAGACTACCAGCAGTAATTCACTCATATACATACATACAAGGCATTTTAAGCATTGTACTGTAACACACACACACACACACACACATACACACACACACGCACACACGCACGCACGCACGCACGCACACGCGCACACGCGCACACGCGCACACACGCACACACACGCACATACACGCGCACACACGCGCGCGCACGCACACACACACACACACACAGACACACACAGACACACACAGACACAGACACACACAGACACACACAGACACAGACAGACAGACAGACAGACAGACAGACAGACAGACAGACAGACAGACAGACAGACAGACAGACAGACAGACAGACAGACAGACAGACAGACAGACAGACAGACAGACAGACAGACAGACAGACAGACAGACATACAGACATACATACATACATACATACATACATACATACATACATACATACATACATACATACATACATACATACATACATACATACATATACACATACATACAGACCCTCCTGTCAGTTAAAAATTGAAAAGGCAAGCCATATAGACCATTGCCAACCTTAATTTAAGTTTAGCGGCAACTGTGATTTTCTTACAAATAAACTGATCTTTTACTAACCTGTTCAGCTCTTTGTCTACATGCATGCCTCTTTATTTATCATCGTCATCATCATCATCATCATCATCATCATCATCATCATCATCATTGTCCTGCTGTGCCAATCTATGTCACATATAGATGGCGGTCGATACCTTATACTTCTGTCAAATGCAATGCTTGTGATATTCTGGATGGAACACAATCCAAAACCTTTGGCCTGGCTCATTAACGTTTCTTTTAGAGGTCCTCGCATCCTCAGTTCTGTTGTTTCCTATTGTAGTGCCTGTGTTTTGATTTTATGCTCTTTTCTTGTCAAAATGTGTCCAATTTAGAGCCGTCTTTTTCGACTTATAAATATTGTTACCAATAGTTGTCCAGACATTTCTCTTATTTCGATATATGCTTGCACTGCCTACTATTGCAGATATGCTCAGTGTCATATCTCAGAGTAGCTGCAGACAAGAAGCACCCCCCCCCCCCCCCCCCCCCCATGAAGCCCTGGGTAGAACTTAATGTCACAGACTGAAAAGAGGAAGGTCTTGGATGGCGCAAGCTGAAGACACAATCCGACTTTTGTGCAGGCTTGATAAATTTTTGCGAGGTAAATATGGGACGTCGCAGGTCGACCCAGCCTCAAATGGGTACCAGGATGGGCTGTCCTAAGAAAGTAAAGACGACCGGCGTAATGCTGACCACATTACCCACCGAGTGCCGATTGGTCTGTAAAAATATGGGTGCTCTTCCCATTTGCCCGATGCGCCTAAAGGCGTGTAAAGGGATGTTTACTTTTTTTTTTAAAGAGGGAGTCAAATTGTATGAGCAAGTTTCAGACTTGTAGGGTTCTGATCACTTTGGGTTATGAGCGCAGGGACTGGTTAGTTGGCGCTGCTGAATCAGAAGTTCAACAAATGATTCATGAAAATTCCCGCCTAAGTGATGTGATGATCTATACAGATGGCTCTGTGTTACGCAGCAGACGAAATACGTGGGAGTTCATAGCAAAAGCGAATGAACGTCGCTTAGAGCAACAAAGCCTGGCATATGATATCACAACGTCTAGTTTGAGAATGGAGGGGAAGGCAGTCACTGTTGTATTCCGTTGGCTTAAAAATCAACTGTACACACATGCCGTCATTGTAACTGACTCACAGAGTATGTAAAGAAAGAAAGAGGCCGGTATCACTTCAGAGTTTCTGGGTAGTTAACGTCCTTTGGATGTTCTTTCCAGGTAATGCCGGTGTGTTGGGAAATGAACAGGAGATAGACTGGCTGGTTCTGCCACCCTTAGTGGGAACTGATGTATGACAAGCTAGATGCTGTGAGGGCCCTCTGAGAGCGAGTGAACAGTGCGGAAGTGCAAATAGATCCCTACGGTATCTGGTAATCTGGTAATCCTAGTTTCCCTTTGGAATGAGGAGAATAGTGCTGCGGGTAGTTACCTGGGGATATGGCGGACGCTCAACACTCAAGGGAAAGGTGAGACGAATATACAATCAGATAGTTACTGGTGTCATCGGAATTGGAACTTTTCGTTTGCTGCTGAAAAGGAGACGGAGCGCTTATGGGAGTGCCCGTGTGCTATGATGTCGATTCTTAATTCAACATTCAACATTCTCTTATTTCTTCACTTGTCTTAAATTCGTCGGATTTGTTTTTCAATGCGTTCGACTTTTGTTACTTATCTCTATGGCTCTCCAATTCCTGAACAGGTAGTGTCTGAGATGCGATCGGTAAAGAAAATGAGGAAGATGTCAGAGAAACAATCTTTATTCACAGGTTAATTATGTCGACAAACTGAACTACTGTCTGGACTTTAGCAGCCAAGTTTTGAAAGTCAACAACAAATCGTGGATATTTACTTGCTTAAAGGTACATTTATTAGAGAAAGCCCGCGTATATGATGCAACAGACACTGAACGATATATTCAGAAAAATAACTAGGAAGAAGCAGCAGCAGTTTTTACGCTTGATAATCCACATCCAATAATTTTAAGTCAACCAGAAGTGCTGTCATAACTATAGCCCGTTCCAAAAGTCCTGCCGAACTATAAAAAAAATTGTAACGCAGTAACTGTTAAGTGTAAGTCGTTGAAATCTGGCATGCGACCTGTTAATAATCGTGTATTTGTAAGATTACTTTTTTTTTAAAGTGTAAAAATAAACATCTAGATTTGAATTTGCCTTATTTGCAATATATGGGGGGGGGGGGGGGGGGGGGAGACACAATGACCCAACAGTAAGCATGCTTACAGTAACTTGAGTAAACTGATTGAGGAGAACTATTCAAAACATTAGATTGCAGGCATGTCAGGCGCTTCACTCTCAGGAGGTCACCTACAGCATTAGTCTCTCCTGAGTTGGGGATTTTTCCTTGAGTGGGGAATAGGCTATTAAAATAATCATCATGCATCGCTGCACACATAAACTGATTTCCAAACATACGTGTCATTTACTGTATATTCTATTTTTTTTTTAGGGTACATAAATTATTAGTTCAAACATAAATCAAAGGCATTAGCTGCTTTAAGAAAACAGCACTCGACTTAAGAATGATAACTCACCTGTCTAATGATATTATTGCTTGCTTATCTAAGCATAGTCGGCATGTGTGGCTTAGGCATTGCGAACAAGCTTCATAATGCCGGGGTGCCGGGTTCGATCCCAGCTGCGGGCTTTGCGCCTTGAGTTGGTTTTGACAGTGGTATCGAGAAGCCGACCGACCAGAAAGCAATGGCAAACTACTGGACATTATCTTGCCTAGAAAAACCACAAAAGCCAAAATATGCTGGGATTGGTTCTGCAAAGTCCTGTAAAGGATACGCAACTAATTAACTATCTAAGCGTAGATCACCCTGACTCCTAGTCCTGGTGCGTCCAATGCTTTGCATCTATGTAATGACAAGACTCTACTTTGGCAATTACACTCTTCGTCGCAAAAGCAACAGGCAATCACATGACTAATAGTCTTGAGGACATTGTTGTCAAACCTGCTGATCAGCGAGGAATAGTAGTGGTCTGGAGGGTATATAATAGTTGCTGGAGAGCAACC